GGAGGAGGAAAGGGGGAAGGGGGAGGATAACTTTTGGGTCCTTGGTGGTCTCTGAGCTTGGTTATTTTCTTCCAGACATTTCATGACCCACTAGGTAGAATCATCAGTGTTAGAAGGGAGTGGGGTTTGTGCAGGGGAGGAGGAGGAGGAAGAAGAGGAGGAGGAGGAGGGTGACTATGAGATATTTGGTGCTCTCTGAGTTTGGTGGTGTTCTTGCAGACATTTCATCACCCAACTAGGTAATATCATCAGTGCTAGTAAAGGAGGAGAAGGAGGAAGAGAAGGACCTCTAGTGATGGAACACCCACAACTTCTGGAGTCCAGCCATTCCACTGATGAATTGTTTTCACTGTCAGGAAATTTCTCCTTGGTTCTAGATTGGATCTCCCTTTAATGGTCTTCCAACTATTACTTCTTGTCTTACCCTCTGGAGACACTCTGGAGAAAGGTAGGCACCATCTTCTTCCTTAAGATAGTGCCTTCTAGAGTAGGGGGTCTCCAACCTTGGCCACTTTAAGCCTGGTGGACTTCAACTCCCAGCTTTGCTGGCTGGGGAATTCTGGGAGTTGGATTACAATGGATTGGTAAACACAGACGGCCAAGATTCATTACTCCTTTAATAAAGGCAAAAAAGGTTAGGAATCTTGAAACTGAAGCTGAAAATCAATATTGGCTAAGTTGTCCATATATGACAAAAAAGCAGGCGTATCGCCATGATGACAAAAAATGTACTTGCATTAAGGCGGTAAAGAATAGCTGAAGAGAGAGCCAAGTTTCCTGATCATGGGTATGCTTCAGAATATCTGAAACACCTTCACGTGACCAAGAAATGGGCAGATGAATACCTGTCAATGAATACTTCAGCTTCAACCATAACAACACAAGAGCACACAATAGATACAAACTCAAAGTAAACCGCACCAAACTTGATTGCAGGAAATATGACTTCAGCAATAGAGTGGTCAATGTCTGGAATACTCTACCCGACTCTGTAGTTTCTTCCCCAAACCCCAAAAACTTTAACCTTAGACTGTCTACTATTGACCTCACCCCTTTCCTAAGAGGTCTGTAGGGGGCGTGCATAAGCGCACCAACGTGCCTACCGTCCCTGTCCTATTGTTTCTCTTATTCTTCTTTTATTTTTCTTATATGTACCCATTTCATGTATTCACAACTATGTATACACTTATACTTATTATCTTGTAAACAATTGGCAAATCAAATAAATAAAATAAATAAATAAATAAATAGATTCCTGATGAATGTCCTTTGCCATTCTAATGTGTTATGTATTAGCATACTCACCTATGATTGGTTGGTCCGTGGTGGCGGGAAATTCGACGAGCCGTCACCGGCCACAGCCACAAGCAGCCCGACTGTAAAAGGGCTGCCGCGGTTTCTTCGGCGAGCAGTCCTAGATAGAAATAAAGATGGCTGGTTACTACGCTGGCTTCCTGAGTCTCATTCTCACAATATAACATAATGGGTTTTGTGGATTCAGCGGGCTTGCTTTTAGTGGCAATGAAACAATGCACAAAGTCAATAAATAAATATATATATATATTTTTTTTAAAAAAAGGCTGGCGGACTTCAACTCCAGAATTCCCCAGCCAGTTGGCTGGGGAATTCTGGGAGTTGAAGTCCACCAGGCTTAAAGTGGCCAAGGTTGGAGACCCCTGCCCTAGATATCCTTGGACCAGACATCACAGGTAAGGAATGTTTGGGAACGCTGGTCCTAACACCCCTAAAAGCCAACACAAAGAAGAAAGGTATGTTAAGTGCACCAAATGAGTCTTGAAGTAGCGTCCTGCAGATAACTCAGCCCTTGTGGTTTAGCTGAATATGTTTTGAAGAATAAAAACTCAATTGCTACCTGCTAAGTTTTTTCTTTCTTTAAATGACTCACGCTGCCAAGAACAAGTCAAATACAGGAGCTGTATGTATACAAAGTATTTTGCATCGCAGTGGGTGCACATTAACTTCCTAAGCAATATTCACTTCTGCAGTGAAATTGGATCATCTTTTGTTTATTTTTAAAAAAATGTTTTTTGCTTTGCTGCTAAATTTTTGATATGGCCTTATGTGTTCTTGGCTTGATATTCTTGTGCTGGATATAAAGGCTATGCATATTCCAGTTTATGCAGATTCTAATGATACTGTAAGGTATTTTTTTTAATTCTCACCATAAGCTCCCTCTGATTCTGATTATATGAAACTGTACAGAATTCCCAAGTAAATGTGAGTATAAAAGTCTCAACCATCTGCTTTTCTGGGCTATGTCATCTGGCAGAAAATCAAACTGCAGGGAGCCTGGCCACGTGAAAAAAAAAAAAAACAGTCTAAGACAATCTTGCTTTCATAAGCTTCAGATCCATGAGGGATCTCGGAATCCTAGTGGACGATCCCTTAAACTTCCTAATATTGAGGAGAACTAACCGGTGGAACAACTTGCCACCAGAAGTTGTGGTTGCTCCATCACTGGAGGCCTTCAAGAAGAAACTGGACAGTCACTCGTCTAAAATGGTGTAGGCTCTCCTGCTTGGGCAGGTGGGTTGGACTAGATGACCTCCAAGGTCCCTTCCCAACTCTATTCTGTAACTGTAAGCCAAGGAACAGCCAAGAAACTGAAGAACCACAAGACGGTAAAAAGCGAGATTGAATCTAGCCCCGCTGTGACAGACAAATGGAAAAGATTTGAGACACCTCATGTAGTGTACCAGTTGCTTGTGTTTGAGAGCTGTTGAGAGATTCAATCTTCTCTTTGGTTCTTTTTATCATTTCTACTTTTGGGGAAAAGAAACCAAGAAGATAAGATAAAGAATTCTTGCATCTGGCAACGCACAGAGGTGGGGGGGAAATGCAACTACCGAAGATTCTTTCAGTGGTTTCGGAGAAAAAGATGGTTTGTGAGCATAGATGAAGTAATGAAATAAAAGTTTTCATGCCAGCTTATTTATTTTTATTTTGGTAAGGCTGAAAGAGTTGGGGAGAAAAACAGGCCTTGGGCTTGGCTTAGATATAAGCGTGCCCTAAACCAGAGGTTCAGCCGGTTCAGTAGCAGAAATGTTGAGTAGTTGGGAGAACCGGCCAATGCCACCTCTGACTGGCCCCGCCAACCCCATCTCTTCTCTGCCTCCCATTGAGTCCCAACTGATCGGCTGGGTCTCCTTTGGTTGCCCTGCACAGGAGAAGGGAGCTGGAAAGCAGGTTAGTGGGGTGGGGAGGGGAGGGGGATTTTGCAGTCACCTTCCCCTGCCACACCCACCAAGCCACGCCCATCAAGCCACATCACGTCCACCAAGCCACGCCCACAGAACTGGTAGTAAAAAAATTTGAATCCCACCACTGCACTAAACCAACATGCTAGATACTAAACTGGGGTCATCCTATCGGGGTCTCCAACCTTAGCAACTTTAAGCCTGGAGGACTTCAACTCCCAGAATTCCCCAGCCAGCAAATCTGCGAGTTGAAGTCCTCCAGGCTTAAAGTTGCTAAGGTTGGAGACCCCCCGGTCTGGAACATGCCAGCGGTCATAGAAATGGAAATTCTAGGCTCAACATTTAAGATGAGAATACATAAAATTGTGTCGTATGCAAGGAACAGAATCCTGAAACGCTGTTTTAAGACCTTGTGATTTTTTTTACTTTCGTCTTCTTAATCTTTCAAAATCACCTCTTTTTTTTTACTTTCCTAATCAATTCTTTCAAGTCTTCAGTACTTTCAGCCACCAGCGATGTGATTTCCATATTTCAAACTGTCACTTCGACATCCAAATCTCATTCCAGCTGTCGTCTCAATTTTGTGGCCATCTTAGCTGCTTAAATTAAACAAACACGTAGATTTGTCAAATGCATCTTTCTTTTTCAACCCTAAACAACATTGTTTTTTTCCCCCCAAGATAATCTTTAAGAAAGCTTTGTGCTCACTGTCAAGAATCATCAGAAAAATAATCTGTTTCTCTGGCGCTTCCCTTAGACTTTATATATATCTCATCTTCTGGAATGTTCTACATAATCAAGAACCTTTTTTCTGGTTAATAAAGCAATGATGCACCTCCTCCTTTTAATCACTTGTTTTCTCCTTTTTTTTGCCACTGATTATGTTGACAGTGGATTTTGACGATATAGTTATTGTTCAAAACATAGGAATTGCAGTAATACCTTGAACCAATAGGCATATTTCAAGCAAGGTTTGGCTGATTGAGCACTCTTTAAATTTTTGAGAAAAGGATGCCCCAATAGTTACAAATTAATGTAGGCATTCACTTTAAAATTGTGTTGTTTTTTTTAATCTTTGTCTTCTTAATCTTTCAAAATCACCTCTTTTTTTTTACTTTCCTAATCAATTCTTTCAAGTCTTCAGTACTTTCAGCCACCAGCGATGTGATTTCCATATTTCAAACTGTCACTTCAACAACGAAATCTCATTCCAGCTGTCGTCTCAATTTTGTGGCCATCTTAGCTGCTTAAATTAAACAAATACGTAGATTTGTCAAATGCATCTTTCTTTTTCAATCCTAAACAACTTTGTTTCCCCCCCCTCCCCCCGAGTTAATCTTTAAGGAAGCTTTGTGTTCATTGTCAAGAAAAACAATCTGCTTCTCTGGCACTTCCCTTAGACTTTATATATTCCACCTTCTGGAATGTTCTACATAATCAAAAACCTTCTTCTGGTTAATAAAGCAATAATGCACCTCCTCCTTTTGATCACCTGTTTTCTCCTTTTTTGCTACTTATTTGATCTCTTGTCTTCTCTCTGCCTTTCCATCTCAACCTGGGCACCTTTTTTTGAACTATTACCATTTATTTATTTATTTATTTATTTATTTATTTATTTGTTGTTTGTTGTTTGTTTTATTTGTTTTATTTGTCAATCGCTTACAAGATAATAGGTATAAGAATAAACATGAGTAAGAATACAGAAAATAGGTACGAATAAATGGGGACAATAGGACAGGGACAGGAGGCACGATGGTGCACTTATGCACGCCCCTTACAGACCTCTTAGGAATGGGTATTCTCTCCCTTCCTTTCTCTCCTCCCTCCATTCTTTTTTCTCCTATCTTCCTTCCCCCTTCCTTCCTTCTTTCCTTCCTTCTTTTATTTTTTATTTGATTTGTTTATTTGATTTGTCAATCGTTTACAAGATAATAGGAATGAGTATAAACATGAATAAGAATACAGGAAATAGGTACGAATGAATGGGGACAATAGGACAGGGACGGGAGGCACGATGGTGCGCTTATGCACGCCCCTTACAGACTTCTTAGGAATGGGGTGAGGTCAATAGTAGATAGTTTGAGGTTGAAGGAGTGGGAGTTAGAGGATGTAACAACAGAGTCAGGTAGGGCATTCCAGGCATGGACCACTCTGTGGCTGAAGTCGTACTTCCTGCAATCGAGTTTGAAGCGGTTTACATTGAGTTTGTATCTGTTGTATGCTCTTGTATTGTTGTGGTTGAAGCTGAAGTAATCACTGACTGGTAGGACATTGTAGCAGATACTTTTGTGTACTACGCTTAAGTCCAACTGTAGGCAGCATAGTTCTAGGTTGTCCAAGCCCAAAATTTCAAGTCAGGACAAATAGGTTGAAAAACAGCTTTTATCCTAGGGCAGTAACTCTATTGAATTCTACTGCATAGTGCAGTATTAATGCAATATCAGGGGTTTTCAATTCAATGTATAGAATACGAAGGATGGGTGTTTGGGTTCATTTTCATAGTCATAATGTACACTGAAGATGGTATTTAATTTCATTGTACGAGGTGCAATGACAAGAAAACTGTATTACTATTATTCTTCTCATCCTTCTTATTACCTATCTCTTCCCACTTACGACTATAATCGTGT